CCCCCCCCCACCCCGCCCCCTTATGTTCCTCATCCAGGAAAAATGACAGGTCATCTAACCATGCCAACTTTATAAAACAGCTAACGTGCGTATTACTCCCAGTCTCTCAGATGAAATATTAAACCTGTTTAAAAGAGATTTTTGTGTAGTCCCTAAATGCTGCAAATTGGAGGAAATTAACCTGTTGCAGGGTCTCATGGTAAAGTAAGTGGCGAGGGGAATTGGCACTAAGAATTTGAGCTGGGATGAGATGTGCCTGGGTTGGGAGATGCATTTTCTTTCTGCAGCCCTGAATGTACTTTAAACTGAAAGAAAGAAGATTAATAAAAAGGGTAGTGTAATGCCAAGGAGAAATATATTTGCAGCATGTGGGTTAATTTAGAAAGCAGATGTAAGCCCTAGTAACAATATAAATAGTATAACATCCAGTTAAATAAAAATCTCATTTTAATTTTGCCAAGGAAGATGACTCTACAAAACAGGAGGAACCAAATCACATGGTGCATAGTTTGTGCCTGGTGATGGCAGCTGGCTGAATTCAAAGGCAAGTCTACGTGAAGGAAGTCTAAATCAGCGTAATTTATATCTTTAGTCTCTATCCCTTGCCATGCAATTGAAAGCAACATCAGCTGAGATTTTAATAGGTTCTTAGGAACTTAGCGGCCAGATTCAGCACCGATGTACCAGGAGGTGTGAAAGCAATTGCATACGTCAGTGTAATTCTAAGGGAGTCTAAATCTGGAACTAAAAGATACAAATCATCATTTAATTAAGATATAAATCATCGCTTAAATGCTTTTAAACTTACTCCTAATGCCTGGCATAGTGATTTAGTAGTCCCTTTTATTATGTCTGAATCTGACCCGTTAACTGTACTTTGACACATTCACAGATGAAAATACCCAAGCAACTTGCTTTCCTCCAGTTATTTCCTTTGAAAGCAGTTCACGGGGCTTTAGCAAAGAAAGTATTTGCCAAGGTCAACAGATCATAACCGCTCCACATCAGAATAAAATTTAATAGAAATGATTTATTAGGCCAGCTCAGATTTCAGTGGAAGTTTCCCAGAAATTTAAGTGCTATGAATGATCCCGTTCCTAACCAAATAATTTAGAGGTTTCTTGAGGCAAGACGATTCCTTGCAAAATACTGCAGAGGGAGCTCGAAGCCTGGGAGTGTTTCAGGCTGAGCCTCTTGACTTCATGGTCTTAGCTGGAGGAGCAGGGCAAAGAGAGCAAAGAAAGATTCATTTCTGCCGCGCCTTCAGTGAGGTGTCAGTCACCAGGACATTCAGGCAACAAACACCCATTTAGAGCCTGTGGACACGAAATGGCGAAGCGCGTGGCTGCCCTTCGTGGGGTCCGTGCACCGTCATGTTGCGTGAATAAACGTGGGGTGGCTGAAAGGTTGCTTGGGAGGGTTCATGGCTTATTAAACAGCTGCTTTAAAAAGCGGTATATTAATCCACGTGCCCTGAACGGTAAACGTTTTGGTAAAACGTATGCAGCTGTGCTGAACCACAGGTGTCTGAGATGTGTTTGCATGGAAACTTTGGAAGATGCTTTGTGTTTTCTAGCCAAGGCAGTCTACATTTCTGGCTGATCCCTCCTCTTTGCTCTTGCAGCGTACTCTGATCTGGTATGGGGCTGTGGAAATGTCTGGCAGTTTCTGCAGGTGCTGCAGTCCCTCTGATGTAATCTGATTTGCTATTAGTGCTCATTAACAAGTATACGAGTTGCTGAGTCCACCTTTGATGACTGTTTTCTCTATTACTGTCAAGCAACTTACTCTTGATATGACAAATAAGCTTTCTGTAAATACTAAGAGCTTGTCTTCTCTTTTCAGCCAGCCCCTTTTCTGTAACAAGGGATGTGCTTGCAGCATGCTGTTGACACACCAGAACTAGTTTTAATCTAGCTATTTCCGATGCTGGTTGCAACACAGCTACTTCAGCACAGTACATGGCATAGTCCAATCAGAGATAGTAATGCAGATATTCAAAGAAATCTCTCTCCTTTCTGAGGCCCACAGCGAGGGCTGCACACACCGGTAGAGTTTCCAGTGTTAATACATGTATTTTTCTTCTTTGCTTTTGTTCTGAGCTACATATCTGCTGCTTCATACGTACTTTGCTTACCTTTGATATGTTTAAAGCTTAAATCACTGCTGTTAGTTCAGTCCTGTTGTATGAGGGTAAAGCTCTGCTCCCGGGCTCGTAAGCTGCAAAGGATGTGCTTCTGTAGGAACTCCTGTCTGGTTTTACAGAGCAGAGAGAGGTGAAAGACTCGGTGGATCAGGACTGTATCTTGACAGACTTGATGGTGTAGTTGCTTTAAATAACATGCAGGATGAAGAGGTAGTCAATAGGTGTCTTCAAGTCAAGGAGAGCTTGCTGGCCTACTGCTGTTTCTTTGCAAGCTGCTTAATGGTACTTGTTAGACTGGCTGGGCTGATCGTCAAGGGGGAGGTAGAATTGTCAAAGGGGTATTTGTTTCTTTTATTAGCAAGTGGAAGCAAAAAGGCTAATTGCATACAGTGGAGGTGGCGTCACAATTCAAAGCATTCTGTCGTGATAAGAGAAATCTATATGCCGATGCACACCCTCCGAGTGGAC